GTTCTTGCCCGTGGTTTTTTAATCACAGTTGGAGGTGTCCAATTGTGGTTTTTTCCACGTAAAAATCGTTTGTGTCGATTTATTAATTATTCTGAAAAAACAAACAATCTAAATCACTTTCGTAAGTGCTTGTTGATTTAGATTGTGTGTTTTGGATTTCTGAGATTTGGAATATTTTAATCTTGATCTAATACGAATCACTTAGAATTTTCAATTGGTATCAGAGCAGGTCACTCTTTTTTAAAAAAAATATAGGAGTGTGATTTTGTGTGACTAGTGATATGGATTCTATTCGTGAAGGTAACTCGACCCATAGACCGCCTTTACTCGATGGTACAAACTATTCGTATTGGAAAGCTCGTATGAGAGCATTTTTAAAATCCATCGATGAGAAAGTTTGGCACAGCGTAATACATGGGTGGAGTGAACCTACTGTCATCGTTGATGGTGTTAATATTCCTAAACCCCTTGATAAATGGGACACGACTGATTACCAAAACTCGAGTTGGAACAGTAAGGCTCTCAATTCCCTGTTTTGCTCCGTCACACTGAAGAATTTCGTCGTATTGCACGTGTGAGGTAGAAAAAGAGGCTTGGGAATTCTAGAAACGATTCACGAAGGTACTACTTCTGTCAAAAGGTTAAAAACTTCAACGTCTCACATCCTCCTTTGAAACCCTTTTTATGCGCGATAAGGAGACGTTTGATGATTTCTATGCAAAACTAGTGATATCGTGAATTCCTGTTTCACACTCGGGGAAAAATCCCGGAAGCTAAAATTGTGGAAAATTTTGAGGTCTTTAACCGAGAGGTTCCAACCAAAAGTGACAGCCATTAGGAGGCTCAGGATGTTGATACCTCAAGCTTGATCAATTGGTTGGAAACTTGCAGACTTATGAAGCCCACCAGATTTCAAAGAAAACAAAAAGAAAGTATGGCTTTCACTAGTGCTCATGAGTCTGCAAAAACTCCGGAGGTTGAATTTGATTTAGAGTCTGAAATGACGGCTATGCTTACTAAACAATTTAAAAAAATTTGAAGAAAAAGAAGCCTAATTTCAGAGACCCTATTTCTAAAGACAAGAGTAATGAAAATCCAAAACTTTTCACAAACTTGCTTCAAAAACTGAAAAGAAGATTGTAAAAGGGCAAGGGGTCAAGTGCTATGAATGTCAAGGTTTTGGTCACATTGCCCTTGAATGCCCTTCGAAAAAGAATCGAAAGAAAGTCTAACTGTAACTTGGGATGATGAAAGCGGGTCGGAGCAAGAACCCGAAGAACCTGAATCTGGAGAAGACGGGGATAGTGCTTTTATGGCATTTTGGTCCACTTTCACTCAAACTTTCCAAAGCCAGCGGAGTTAGCTCTGGTCAGAACCTGCATCATGCTCCTACTTTTGATGGGAGTAACTACCTTGTTTTGGAAAATCAGAATGAGGGCTTTTCTGAGAGCTTTTGATCCAGAAGGCTGGCAGGCCATTAAGAAGATACAGACAGGGCTGACAATCCGAGCAATCTGAGAGCCCTTATCACTATTCGTGGAGAATTTCTGCTGAAGAACACAACGGATTGTTCGTTGCACAAAGGCTAAAGAGGCATGGGAAATTTTGAGCCAATTCCATGAAGGAGGAAATTCACTTTCACCACCATCCAGCAACCTTTAGTCTTAGTTGCTAGATTGGAAGAGGCAAAGGAGAATGAAGAGCAAAAAGAGGATGATGAAACATCTGATGACAATGATGAGATCAATGGGATGAACTACAACAAGCTTACGAAAAGCTATACGAGGAATCTCTGAATTTATCCAAAACCAACGACAAACTCTCTCTCAAGATCAAAACATGTGAGAGTGAGAATGTCAGGCTGAAAGGAGAACTTGTAGCAGCAAAGCAGAATATCGTCAAGATCTCGAGTGACACAGAACTTATGTGGAAAACTACTATCCTGTGAAACTGAAAGGAATGAACTTTTGAAGGTGTGTTCCACATACGAAGAAAAGCTTGAAAGTCTTGAGCTGTCACAAGCCAGATTGGAAGAGATAGTTTGTCAAAAGATGAAGAGCTCCGTGTTGCTAGAGCCACTATTGCCATGTGGAACAAAGGTTCCAAATCTTTAGAAGACATCCTCGGTCTCAACAAATGGGTTGCACAAAAAGCGGGTTAGGCTATGGTGCACAGCTCACAAGGGACAGGCCTCTACTTCACATGACAAGAAGACTCAAGCAAAGGGAAATTGCAGATAGACCAGGCTGATCTCTCTCTTCATCTACCAAAGCTGGTAAGATCAACAAAAAAGGAGGTAAAACGGTTTTTATTTGTCATCACTGTGGTAGGTATGGCCACATTCGTCCTTATTGCTATGAATTGTTTGTTAAGGTGTCTCAAAAGGGTAGAAATTCAAATACTTTTTGGAACTAGGAGACAACCTTACATGTCTAGGCGAAATACCAAGACTAAAAAGATTTGGGTGAGAAAAGGTGATTTGACTTGTTTAGTTGTTCACACTGTCTATAAAGCACGTGATTCACACATGTGGTATCTTGATAGTGGGTGTTTCTCATCATATGTCCGGTAACAAATCCTACTTCACCTCCTTGAAAATATGAGGAGGAATTGTTACCTTTGGAGATGGTGGAACTTCGAGAGTCATTGGTAAAGGCTCTATAAGTGTTGCTGGTCTTCCCAAGCTAGATAATGTTTTACTAGTTGATGGTCTTAAAGCAAATCTTTTGAGCATTAGTCAAATGTGTGATTCCCATCATGAAGTATTGTTTTCAAAAATAAATGTGAAATTTTGGATAAAAAGGGAAATACTGTCTTACAGGGGTTCGC